GGAATCCCAGGGAATTCCTGCTGGAATCCCAGGGAGCTCCTGCTGGAATCCCAGGGAGCTCCTGCTGGAATCCCAGGGAATTCCTGCTGGAATCCCAGGGAATTCCTGCTGGAATCCCAGGGAATTCCTGCTGGAATCCCAGGGAACTCCTGCTGGAATCCCAGGGAATTCCTGCTGGAATCCCAGGGAATTCCTGCTGGAATCCCAGGGAATTCCTGCTGGAATCCCAGGGAGCTCCTGCTGGGATCCCAGGGAATTCCTGCTGGAATCCCAGGGAATTCCTGCTGGAATCCCAGGGAATTCCTGCTGGAATCCCAGGGAGCTCCTGCTGGAATCCCAGGGAACTCCTGCTGGAATCTCAGAGAATTCCTGCTGGAATCCCAGGGAATTCTTGCTGGAATCCCAGGGAATTCCTGCTGGAATCCAGGGAATCCCTGCTGGAATCCCAGGGAGCTCCTGCTGGAATCCCAGGGAATTCTTGCTGGAATCCCAGGGAATTCCTGCTGGAATCCCAGGCAATTCCTGCTGGAATCCCAGGGAACTCCTGCTGGAATCCCAGAAAATTCCTGCTGGAATCCCAGGGAATTCCTGCTGGAATCCCAGAAAATTCCTGCTGGAATCCCAGGGAATTTCTGCTGGAATCCCAGGGAATTCCCGCTGGAATCCCAGGGAATTCCTTCTGGAATCCCAGGGAATTGCTGCTGGAATCCCAGGGAATTCCTGCTGGAATCCCAGGGAATTCCTGCTGGAATCCCAGGAAATTCCAGCTGGAATCCCGGGGAATTCCTGCTGGAATCCCAAGGAATTCCTGCTGGAATCCCAGGGAATTGCTGCTGGAATCCCAGGGAATTCCTGCTGGAATCCCAGGGAGCTCCTGCTGGAATCCCAGGGAATTCCTGCTGGAATCCCGGGGAATTCCTGCTGGAATCCCAGGAAATTCCAGCTGGAATCCCGGGGAATTCCTGCTGGAATCCCAAGGAATTCCTGCTGGAATCCCAGAAAATTCCTGCTGGAATCCCAGGGAATTCTTGCTGGAATCCCAGGGAGCTCCTGCTGGAATCCCAGGGAATTTCTGCTGGAATCCCAGGGAATTTCTGCTGGAATCCCAGGGAATTCCTGCTGGAATCCCAGGCAATTCCTGCTTCCAGGCAAGAAGAGGGAGTTCCGCTTCCATCCCATCAAGGAGTCCATCGTGGAGGAGCCCGTGGACATCACCCCGTTCCTGGAGCAGCTGGACGAGTCCCTGAGGGACAAAGTGCTGCAGCTGCAGAAGGGCAGGTGGGGACATCCCAGTCCCAATCCCCATCCCAATCCCAGTCCTATTCCCGTATTTCCGTTCCCAATCCCAATCCCATTCCCATCTCCACTCCATTCCCATTCCAATCCCAATCCCATTTCCATTCTATTCCTATTCCTACTTCCATTCCCGTTTCCAATCCCAATCCCATTCTCACTACATTCTATTCCCATCCCATTCCCCTTCCTAATGCCATTCCCATCCCAATCCCAATCCTATCCCATTGCCCTTCCCAATCCCATTCCCACTCCATTCCCATCCCATTCCCAATCCGATCCCATTGCCCTTCCCACTCCAATTCCCATTCCCAATCCCAATCCCATTCCCAATCCGATCCCATTGCCCTTCCCACTCCAATTCCCATTCCCAATCCCAATCCCATTCCCAATCCGATCCCATTGCCCTTCCCAATCCAATTCCCATTCCATTCCTATTCCATTCCGAATCCCACTCCCAATCCCGTTTCCATTCTATTCCTATTCCTACTTCCATTCCTGTTTCCAATCCCATTCCAATCCCATTCCCAATCCCATTCTCGCTACATTCTATTCCCATCCCATTCCCATCCCATTCCCAATCCCAATCCCATTCCCATCCCATTCCCAATCCGATCCCATTGCCCTTCCCAATCCCATTCCCATTCCATTCCTATTCCATTCCCAATCCCACTCCCAATCCCATTTCCATTCTATTCCTATTCCTATTCCTACTTCCATTCCTGTTTCCAATCCCAATCCCATTCCAATCCCATTCTCACTACATTCTATTTCCATCCCATTCCCCTTCCTAATGCCATTCCCATCCCATTCCCAATCCGATCCCATTGCCCTTCCCAATCCCATTCCCATTCCCATCCTAATCCCATTGCCATTCCCAATCCCATTCCCAATCCCACTCCCAATCCCATTTCCATTCTATTCCTATTCCTACTTCCATTCCTGTTTCAAATCCCAATCCCATTCCAATCCCATTCCCAATCCCATTCTCGCTACATTCTATTCCCATCCCATCCCATCCCAATCCCATTCCCATTCCATTCCCATTCCCATTACATTCCTATTCCATTCCCAATCCCATTCCCAATCCCATTCCCACTCCATTCCCATCCCATTCCCAATCCAATCCCATTGCCCTTCCCAATCCCATTTCCATTCTATTCCTATTCCTACTTCCATTCCTGTTTCCAATCCCATTCCAATCCCATTCTCACTACATTCTATTCCCATCCCATTCCCATCCCAATCCCATTCCCATCCCAATCCCATTCCCAATCCGATCCCGTTGCCCTTCCCAATCCCATTCCCATTCCATTCCTATTCCATTCCCAATCCCACTCCCAATCCCATTCCCACTCCATTCCTATTCCAATCCCATCCCATTCCCCATTCCCAGTGCTCCCATTCAGTGCTCCCAGTGCTCCCAGTGCTCCCAGTGAGGGTTTGTTCGTGTCCCTGCAGTGACACGGAGGCGCAGTGCGAGGTCATGCAGGAGATCGTGGATCAGGTCCTGGAGGTAACGGAGCCACGCTGGGGTCTGGGATCCGTTTGGGTGGGATTTGGGATCTGTCATGGGTGGGAAGTGGGATCTGTCCTGGGTGGGATCTGGGATCCATCATGGGCAGGATCTGGGATCAGTTTTGGGTGGGATTTGGGATCTATCATGGGCAGGATCTGGGATCAGTTTTGGGTGGGATTTGGGATCTATCATGGGTGGGATTTGGGGTCTGTCATGGGTGGGATTTGGGATCCATCATGGGCAGGATTTGGGATCCATCTTGGATGGGATTTGAGATCCTTCTTGGGTGGGATTTGGGGTCTGTCCTGGGTGGGATCTGGGATCTATCATGGGCAGGATCTGGGATCAATTTTGGGTGGGATTTGGGATCTGTCATGGGCAGGATTTGGGATCCATCTTGGGTGGGGTCTGGGATCTGTGCCAGGAAGGATTTGGGATCCATCCCAGCTGGGATTTGGGATCCATCCTGGCCAGGATCTGGAATTAATCCTAGGGGGGATCTGGGATCTGTCATGGAGAGGATCTGGGATCCATCCTGGCAGTGATTTGGGATCCCTGGTGCTGGAATCTCTCCAGAGCAGCCTGGGATCCATTCCTGTGCCAGGATCAGTCCCTGTGCCCTTTCCCCGTGCCAGGATCCATTCCTGTGCCCCCTGCCCGTGCCAGGGTCCATTCCTGTGCCCTTTCCCATGCCAGGATCACTCCCTGTGCCCTCTCCCCGTGCCAGGATCAGTCCCTGTGCCAGGATCAGTCCCTGTGCCCATTCCCTGTGCCAGGATCAGTCCCTGTGCCCCCTGCCCGTGCCAGGATCCATTCCTGTGCCCTTTCCCTGTGCCAGGATCCATTCCTGTGCCCTTTCCCATGCCAGGATCAGTCCCTGTGTCCTTTCCCTGTGCCCCCTGCCCGTGCCAGGATCAGTCCCTGTGCCCTTTCCCCATGCCAGGATCCATCCCTGTGCCCTTTCCCATGCCAGGATCCATTCCTGTGCCAGGATCAGTCCCTGTACCCTTTCCCCGTGCCAGGATCAGTCCCTGTGCCCCGTGCCCGTGCCAGGATCAGTCCCTGTGCCCTTTCCCATGCCAGGATCAGTCCCTGTGCCCTTTCCCATGCCAGGATCAGTCCCTGTGCCCTTTCCCATGCCAGGATCAATCCCTGTGCCCTTTCCCCGTGCCAGGATCAGTCCATGTGCCCCCTCCCCATGCCAGGGTCCATCCCTGTGCCCTTTCCCATGCCAGGATCAGTCCCTGAGCCCTTTCCCCGTGCCAGAATCAGTCCCCGTGCCCTTTCCCATGCCAGGATCAGTCCCTGTGCCAGGATCAGTCCCTGTGCCCCTTCCCCGTGCCAGGATCAGTCCCTGTGCCCTTTCCCCATGCCAGGATCAGTCCCTGTGCCCTTTCCCATGCCAGGATCCATTCCTGTGCCCCTTCCCCATGCCAGGATCCATTCCTGTGCCCCCTCCCCATGCCAGGATCAGTTCCTGTGCCCTTTCCCATGCCAGGATCAGTCCCTGTGCCAGGATCAGTCCCTGTGCCCTTTCCCCGTGCCCTTTCCCATGCCAGGGTCAGTCCCTGTGCCAGGATCCATTCCTGTGCCCCCTCCCTGTGCCAGGATCAGTCCCTGTGCCCTTTCCCCGTGCCAGGATCCATTCCTGTGCCCTTTCCCCGTGCCAGGATCAGTCCCTGTGCCCTTTCCCCNTCCCAGGAAAACCCAGAGGACTGTTCCCATTTCCTGGGAAAACTCAGCAAGGTCCAGGGATATTCCTGTTCCCATTCCTGGGAAAACCCAGAGGGATCCAGGGCTGTTCCTGGGCTCCCAACGGGATCCAGGGCTGTTCCTATTCCCAGGAAAATCCAGAGAGATCAAGGGCTGCTCCTGTTCCCATTCCTGGGAAAACCCAGAGGAATTCAGGGTTGTTCCCATTCCTGGGAAAACTCAGAGGGATCCAGGACTGTTCCTGTCCCATTTCCTGGGAAAATTCAGAGGAATTCAGGGTTGTTCCTATTTCCTGGGAAAACCTGGAGGGATCCAGGGCTGTTCCTGGGCTCCCAACGGGATCCAGGGTTGTTCCCATTCCCAGGAAAATCCAGAGGGATCCAGGGCTGCTCCTGTCCCATTTCCTGGGAAAACCCAGAGGAATTCAGGGTTGTTCCTATTCCTGGGAAATCCAGAGGGACCCAGGGCTGTTCCTCTCCCATTCCCAGAAAAAATCCAGAGGGACCCAGGGCTATTTCTGTCCCATTTCCTGGGAAAACCCAGAGGAATTCAGGGTTGTTCCTATTCCTGTGAAATCCTGGAGGGATCCAGGGCTGTTCTTGGGTTCCCAACGGGATCCAGGGCTGTTCTTTTGTCATTCCTGGAAAACTCTGAGGGATCCAGGGCTGCTCCCATGCCATTCTTGGGAAATTCTGAAGGGATCCAGGGCTGTTCCTGTTCCCATTTCCTGGGAAATCCAGAGGGATCCAGGACTGTTCCTGTGCCATTTCCTGGGAAAACCCAGAGGAATTCAGGGTTGTTCCCATTCCTGGGAAATCCAGAGGGATCCAGGGCTGTTCCTGTCCCATTTCCTGGGAAAATTCAGAGGAATTCAGGGTTGTTCCCATTCCTGGGAAAACTCAGAGGGATCCAGGGCTGTTCTTTTGTCATTCCTGGGAAAACTCAGAGGGATCCAGGACTGTTCCCATTCCCAGGAAAATTCAGAGGGATCCAGGGCTGTTCCTGTCCCATTTCCTGGGAAAATCCAACAGGATCCAGGGCTGTTCCCATTCCCAGGAAAATCCAGAGGGACCCAGGGCTGTTCCTGTCCCATTTCCTGGGAAAATTCAGAGGAATTCAGGGTTGTTCCTATTCCTGGGAAATCCCAGAGGAATTCAGGGCTGCTCCTGTCCCATTCCTGGCAAATCCTGGAGGGATCCAGGGCTGTTCTTGTCCCATTTCCTGGGAAAATTCAGAGGGATCCAGGGCTGTTCCCATTCCCAGGAAAACCCAGAGGACTGTTCCCATTTCCTGGGAAAACTCAGCAAGGTCCAGGGATATTCCTGTTCCCATTCCTGGAAATCCTGGAGGGACCCAGGGCTGTTCCTGTCCCATTTCCTGGGAAAATTCAGAGGAATTCAGGGTTGTTCCCGTTCCTGGGAAATCCTGGAGGGATCCAAGGCTGTTCCTTTGTCATTCCTGGGAAAATTCAGAGGAATTCAGGGTTGTTCCTATTCCTGGGAAATCCTGGAAGGATCCAGGGCAGTTCCTGTGTCATTCCTGAGAAATCCAGAAGGAATTCCTATTCCCAGGAAAATCCAGAGGGATCCAGGGCTGTTCCCATTCCCAGGAAAATCCAGAGGGACCCAGGGCTGTTCCTCTCCCATTCCCAGGAAAATCCAGAGGGATCCAGGGCTGTTCCTGTCCCATTTCCTGGGAAAATTCAGAGGAATTCAGGGTTGTTCCCGTTCCTGTGAAATCCAGAGGGATCCAGGGCTGTTCCTTTGTCATTCCTGGGAAAACCCATAGGAATTCAGGGTTGTTCCTATTCCTGGAAAATCCAGAGGGATCCAGGGCTGTTCCCATTCCTGGGAAACCCATAGGGATTCAGGGCTGTTCCTATTCCTGGGAAAACTCAGAGGGATCCAGGGCTGCTCCCATGCCATTCTTGGCAAATCCTGAAGGGATCCAGGGCTGTTCCTGTCCCATTTCCTGGGAAAATTCAGAGGAATTCTGGGTTGTTCCCATTCCTGGGAAAACCTGGAGGGATCCAGGGCTGTTCCTTTGTCATTCCTGGAAAACTCCGAGGGATTCAGGGATGTTCCTGTCCCATTCCTGGAAAATCCTGGAGATATCCAGGGCTGTTCCCGTGTCATTGCCGGGAGCTCAGAGTGTCCGTCTGTCTGTCCCCAGGTCCCTGGAGGAGTCCGTGGGGAAGCCCCTGTACCTGATATTCCGGTAGGTTCCTTCCCAAACCCTCAGCTCAGGAATTCCCGGCCTCCCATCCCATTCCTGGTGGGAAATCTGGGGTTTTTTGGTGGGATTTTGGGAATTTTTGGGGTTTTTGGTCCTCGTTATCGTGGTGACATTCCCGCTGTCCCCAAGGAACCTGTGCCAGATGCAGGAGGACAACAGTGGCTTCTCGCTGCTGCTGGACCTGCTCTCGGAGCTCTACCAGAAGCAGCCCAAGATCGGGTATCACCTGCTCTACTACCTGAGGGCCAGGTGAGGCCACGCCCTGCGCTGGCTCCGCCCCCTCCGATGGGCCACGCCCTGCTCTGACTCCTCCCTCTCTCCTGTGACTCCTCCCCTTCTTATGGGCCATGCCCTGCTCAGGCTCCTCCCCTTCATCTGGGCCCCACCTTCTCACCCTGACCCCGCCCTGCTCTGACTCCTCCCCCTCACCCAGGCCCTGCCCTGTTCTGACTCCGCCCCCTCAGATGGGCCACACCCTGCTCTGACTCCTCCCACTCTGCTTTGACTCCTCCCCCTCTTGTGACTCCTCCCCCTCACCTGGGCCCTGCCCTGTTCTGACTCCTCCCCCTCACCTCAGCCCCGCCCTCTTACCTGGGCGCCTCCCGTGCCTGTGCCTGTGCCTGTCCCCAGTGGCAGCATGAGCCAGGTGTGTGCCAGCTGTGCCAGCTGTGCCAGGTGTGTACCACGTGTGTGAGGTGTCACATGCCAGGCGTGTGCCAGGTGTGTATGCCAGCAGTGCCAGGTGTGTGTCAGTTGTGTCAGCTGTGTCCCAGCGGTACCAGATGTGCCAGGTGTGTGCCAGGTGTGTCCGAGCAGTACCAGATGTGTGCCAGGTGCTCTCTGTCCCCAGCAAGGCGGTGCTGGGCAGGATGGTGCTCTGTGAGTGTGCCAGGTGTATGAGCTGTGTGCCAGGTGTGCCAGGTGTGCCCAGGTGCCAGGTTTGCTCTGTCCCCAGCAAGGCGGCACTGGGCAGGATGGTGCTGTGTGTGTGAGCTGTGTGCCAGGTGTATCCCAGCAGTACCAGGTGTGTGCCAGGTGTGTGCCCAGGTGCCAGGTGTGCCAGGTGTGCTCTCTGTCCCCAGCAAGGCGGCGCTGGGCAGGATGGCGCTCTGTGTGTGAGCTGTGTGCCCAGGTGTGCCAGGTGTGCCCAGGTGCCAGGTTTGCTCTGTCCCCAGCAAGGCGGCGCTGGGCAGGATGGCGCTCTGTGAGTGTGCCAGGTGTATGAGCTGTGTGCCAGGTGTGCCNTGTCCCTGCAGTGACACGGAGGCGCAGTGCGAGGTCATGCAGGAGATCGTGGATCAGGTCCTGGAGGTAACGGAGCCACGCTGGGATCTGGGATCCGTTTGGGTGGGATTTGGGGTCTGTCCTGGGTGGGATGTGGGGTCAGTCTTGGACGGGATTTGAGATCCATCTTGGGTGGGATTTGGGGTCCATCATGGGCAGGATCTGGGATCCGTTTGGGTGGGATTTGGGATCTGTCATGGATGGGATTTGGGATCAGTTTTGGGTGGGATTTGGGATCTATCATGGGTGGGATTTGGGATCTGTCCTGGGCAGGATTTGGGGTCCATCTTGGGTGGGATCTGGGATTTGTCCCAGGAAGGATTTGGGATCCATCCCAGCTGAGATTTGGGGTCCATCCTGGCCAGGATCTGGAATTAATCCTAGGGGGGATCTGGGATCCATTTTCGGTGGGATCTGGGATCTGTCATGGAGAGGATCCGGGATCCATCCTGGCAGTGATTTGGGATCCCTGGTGCTGGAACCTCTCCAGAGCAGCCTGGGATCCGTTCCTGTGCCAGGATCAGTCCCTGTGCCCTTTCCCTGTGCCAGGATCCATTCCTGTGCCCCCTCCCCGTGCCAGGATCAGTCCCTGTGCCCTTTCCCATGCCAGGATCAGTCCCTGTGCCCTTCCCCTGTGCCAGGATCAGTCCCTGTGCCCTTTCCCATGCCAGGTCCATCCCTGTGCCCTTTCCCATGCCAGGATCCATTCCTGTGCCAGGATCAGTCCCTGTGCCCTTTCCCCATGCCAGGATCAGTCCCTGTGCCCTTTCCCTGTACCAGGATCAGTCCCTGTGCCCTTTCCCCATGCCAGGATCAGTCCCTGTGCCCTTTCTCATGCCAGGGTCCATTCCTGTGCCCTTTCCCGTGCCAGGGTCAGTCCCTGTGCCAGGATCAGTCCGTGTGCCCTTTCCTTGTGCCAGGATCCATTCCTGTGCCCCCTCCCCGTGCCAGGATCAGTCCCTGTGCCAGGATCCATTCCTATGCCCCCTCCCCATGCCAGGATCAGTCCCTGTGCCCTTTCCCCGTGCCAGGATCAGTCCTGTGCCCTTTCCCTGTGCCAGGATCAGTCCCTGTACCAGGATCAGTCCCTGTGCCCTTTCCCGTGCCAGGATCAGTCCCTGTGCCAGGATCAGTCCCTGTGCCCCCTCCCNCTCCGTTCTCGCCTCGTGCCTGCAGGAGCTCTTCAAGGCCCATTTCCGCGGGGAGGTGCTGCCGGAGGAGATCACGGAGGAGTAAGGGCTGGGAGGAACCACAGAGGGACCCGGGGCTGTTCCTGTCCCATTTCCTGGGAAAATTCAGAGGAATTCAGGGTTATTCCTATTCCCGGGAAATCCAGAGGGATCCAGGGCTGCTCCTGTTCCCATTTCCTGGGAAAATTCAGCGGAATTCTGGGCTGTTCCTGTCCCATTTCCTGGGAAAATTCAGAGGAATTCAGGGTTGTTTCTATTCCTGGGAAATCCAGAGGGATCCAGGGCTGCTCCCATTCCCAGGAAAACCCAAAGGACTGTTCCCATTTCCTGGGAAAACTCAGCAAGGTCCAGGGCTGTTCCTGTTCCCATTCCTGGGAAAACCCAGAGGAATTCAGGGTTGTTCCCATTCCTGGGAAAACTCAGAGGGATCCAGGGCTGCTCCTGTTCCCATTTCCTGGGAAAATTCAGAGGAATTCTGGGTTGTTCCCATTCCGGGGAAAACTCAGAGGGACCCAGGGCTGCTCCTGTTCCCATTCCTGGGAAAATTCAGAGGAATTCAGGATTGTTCCTATTCCTGGGAAATCCTGGAGGGATCCAGGGCTGTTCCTGGGTTCCCAATGGGATCCAGGGCTGTTCTTTTGTCATTCCTGGGAAAACTCAGAGGGATCCAGGGCTGTTCCTATTCCTGGGAAATCCTGGTGGGATCCAGGGCTGTTCCTGTGACATTCCTGGGGAGACTCAGAGGGATCCAGGGCTGTTCCCATTTCCTGGGAAATCCTGGAGGGATCCAGGGCTGCTCCTGTCCCATTTCCTGGGAAAATTCAGAGGAATTCAGGGTTGTTCCCAACTCAGAGGGATCCAGGGCTGTTCCCATTTCCTGGGAGAACCCAGAGGGATCCAGGGCTGCTCCTGTTCCCATTCCTGGGAAAATTCAGAGGAATTCAGGGCTGTTCCTATTCCTGGGTAATCCAGAGGGACCCAGGGCTGTTCCCATGCCATTCTTGGGAAATCCTGAAGGGATCCAGGGCTGTTCTTGGGCTCCCAATGGGATCCAGGGCAGTTCCTGTCCCATTTCCTGGGAAAATTCAGAGGAATTCAGGGTTGTTCCCATTCCTGGGAAATCCTGGAGGGATCCAGGGCTGTTCCTTTGTCATTCCTGGGGAAACTCAGAGGGATCCTGGGCTGTTCTTGGGCTCCCAACGGGATCCAGGGCTGTTCTTTTGTCATTCCTGGGAAATCCAGAGGGATCCAGGGTTGTTCCTGTCCCATTTCCTGGGAAAATTCAGAGGAATTCAGGGTTGTTCCTATTCCTGGAAAATCCAGAGGGATCCAGGACTGTTCCTGTCCCATTCCTGGGAAAATCCAGAGGAATTCAGGGTTGTTCCCATTCCTGAGAAGTCCTGGAGGGATCCAGGGCTGTTCTTGGGCTCCCAACGGGATCCAGGGCTGTTCTTTTGTCATTCCTGGGAAAACCCAACGGGATCCAGGGCTGTTCCCATTCCCAGGAAAATCCAGAGGGACCCAGGGCTGTTCCTGTCCCATTTCCTGGGAAAATTCAGAGGAATTCAGAGCTGTTCCCATTCCTGGGAAATCCAGAGGGATCCAGGGCTGTTCTTGTCCCATTTCCTGGGAAAATTCAGAGGAATTCTGGGTTGTTCCCATTCCCAGGAAAACCCAGAGGACTGTTCCCATTTCCTGGGAAAACTCAGCAAGGTCCAGGGATATTCCTGTTCCCATTCCTGGGAAAANAGGATCAGTCCCTGTGCCCGTGCCAGGTCCATCCCTGTGCCCCCTGCCCGTGCCAGGTCCATCCATCGCTGCCCCCCTGTCCCTGCAGGAGGACTTTGACTCGGAGCAGCTCTCCGTTCTCGCCTCGTGCCTGCAGGAGCTCTTCAAGGCCCATTTCCGCGGGGAGGTGCTGCCGGAGGAGATCACGGAGGAGTAAGGGCTGGGAGAACCACAGAGGGATCCGGGGCTGTTCCTGAGAAATCCAGAGGGATCCGGGGCTGTTCCCGTTCCTGAGAAATCCAGAGGGATCGGAGCTGCTCCTGAGAAATCCAGAGGGATCCGGGGCTGTTCCTGAGAAATCCAGAGGGATCCGGGAATGTTCCCGTTCCTGGGAAATCCAGAGGGATCCGGGGCTGTTCCTGTGATATTCTTGGGAAATCCAGAGGGATCCAGGGCTGTTCCCATTTCCTGGAAAATCCAGAGGGATCCGGGGCTGTTCCTGTGCCATCTCCTGGGAAACCCAAAGGGATCCGGGGCTGTTCCTGTCCCATTTCCTGGGAAAATTCGGAGGAATTCAGGGTTGTTCCCATTCCTGGAAAACTCCGAGGGATTCAGGGATGTTCCTGTCCCATTTCCTGGGAAATCCTGGAGGGATCCAGGGCTGTTCCCGTTCCCAGGAAAACCCAGAGGACTGTTCCCATTTCCTGGGAAAACTCAGCAAGGTCCAGGGATATTCCTGTTCCCATTCCTGGAAAATCCAGAGGGATCCAGGGCTGTTCCTGTCCCATTTCCTGGGAAAATTCAGAGGAATTCAGGGTTGTTCCTATTCCTGAGAAATCCTGGAGGGATCCAGGGCTGTTCCTGGGCTCCCAACGGGATCCAGGGCTGTTCCCATTCCTGGAAAATCCAGAGGGATCCAGGGCTGTTCCTGTTCCCATTTCCTGGGAAAACCCAGAGGAATTCAGGGTTGTTCCCATTCCTGGGAAATCCTGGAGGGATCCAGGGCTGTTCTTGGGTTCCCAACGGGATCCAGGGTTGTTCCTATTCCTGGGAAATCCAGAGGGATCCAGGGCTGTTCTTGGGCTCCCGACGGGATCCAGGGCTGTTCCTATTCCAGGAAAATCCAGAGGGATCCACGGCAGTTCCTGTCCCATTCCTGGGAAATCCAGAGGGACCCAGGGCTGTTCTTGAGTTCCCAACGGGATCCAGGGCTGTTCCTTTGTCATTCCTGGGAAAACTCAGAGGGATCCAGGGCTGTTCCCATTCCTGGAAAATCCAGAGGAATTCAGGGTTGTTCCTATTCCTGGGAAATCCAGAGGGACCCAGGGCTGTTCCTGTGACATTCCTGGGAAATCCTGGAGGGATCCAGGGCTGCTCCTGTTCCTGGGAAAACCCAACGGGATCCAGGGCTGATCCCGTTCCCAGGAAAATCCAATGGGATCCAGAGCTGTTCCTGTGACATTCCTGGGAAAATCCAGAGGAATTCAGGGTTGTTCCTATTCCTGGGAAATCCTGGAGAGATCCAGGGCTGTTCTTGGGCTCCCAACGGGATCCAGGGTTGTTCCTATTCCTGGGAAAATCCAGAGGGATCCAGGGCTGTTCCTGTCCCATTTCCTGGGAAAATTCAGAGGAATTCAGGGTTGTTCCTATTCCTGGGAAATCCAGAGGGATCCAGGGCTGTTCCTGTCCCATTTCCTGGGAAANCTGCTGGAATCCCAGGGAATTCCTGCTTTCAGGCAAGAAGAGGGAGTTCCGCTTCCATCCCATCAAGGAGTCCATCGTGGAGGAGCCCGTGGACATCACCCCGTTCCTGGAGCAGCTGGACGAGTCCCTGAGGGACAAAGTGCTGCAGCTGCAGAAGGGCAGGTGGGGACATCCCAGTCCCCATCCCAATCCCAGTCCTATTCCCGTATTTCCGTTCCCAATCCCATCCCATTCCAATCCCACTCCCAATCCCGTTTCCATTTTATTCCTATTCCTACTTCCATTCCCGTTTCCATTCCCAATCCCATTCTTGCTACATTCTATTCCAATCCCATTCCCCTTCCTAATGCCATTCCCATCCCATCCCAATCCTATCCCATTGCCCTTCCCAATCCTATTCCATTCCCATTCCAATCCCACTCCCAATCCGATCCCGTTGCCCTTCCCACTCCAATTCCCATTCTCATCCCAATCCCATTCCCATCCCATTCCCAATCCGATCCCATTGCCATTCCCAATCCCATCCCATTCCTATTCCATTCCCAATCCCATTCCCAATCCCATTCTCACTACATTCTATTCCCATCCCAATCCCATTCCCATCCCATTCCCATTCCATTCCTATTCCATTCCCAATCCCCATTCCATTCCCATTCCAATCCCACTCCCAATCCCATTTCCATTCTATTCCTATTCCTACTTCCATTCCCGTTTCCAATCCCAATCCCATTCTCACTACATTCTATTCCCATTCCCATCCCATTCCCAATCCGATCCCATTGCCCTTCCGAATCCCATTCCCATTCAATTCCCATTCCATTCCCAATCCCATTCCCGTCCCCACTCCATTCCCATCCCATTCCCAATCCAATCCCATTGCCCTTCCCACTCCAATTCCCATTCCCATCCCAATCCCAATCCCATCCCATTCCCAATCCGATCCCATTGCCCTTCCCAATCCCATTCCCAATCCCATTCCCGTCCCCACTCCCAATCCCATTTCCATTCTATTCCTATTCCTACTTCCATTCCTGTTTCCAATCCCATTCCCAATCCCATTCTCACTACATTCTATTCCCATCCCATTCCCATCCCAATCCCAATCCGATCCCATTCCCATCCCAATCCCATTCCATTCCCAATCCCATTCCCGTCCCCACTCCATTCCCATCCCATTCCCAATCCAATCCCATCCCATTCCCAATCCAATCCCATTGCCCTTCCCACTCCAATTCCCATTCCCATCCCAATCCCATTGCCCTTCCCATTCCCAATCCAATCCCATTGCCCTTCCCAATCCCATTCCCATTCCATTCCTATTCCATTCCCAATCCCACTCCCAATCCCATTTCC